CTACTTTATATACATGTACCTTTTGCAAAATAAATTAAGTTTAAGAACGTACCATAGTGTAGTTTTTAGGAAAATGCGTTCCATCACTATGGAAGGCTTGTGTTAATGCACTCTTTCCCACACCAGGGTCACCTATGGGACAAAATCAACGGGCTTTTTACAACGTACAATGAGGTTAAATGAAATATTTCTTAACCTAAAAAGAAACAAAACTTATTCCGCTCCAAAAAAGCGTCATTACAACCCCTGTGTGATTAAATTTACAGCTTTAGCAGAGACGAGTATCAAACCTAAATTCAGTATAAATAATGAATGATTTCTCGAAATGAGGAACATTTTATAACTATATTTCTTACCAGCAAGAATTACTTGAGCCCGAAGAACAACCATCTTTATTTTTTGTGAGCCAGCTGTATGTTTGGTTAGCGTTCAGCTAGTTGCCACGACGACGACGTTCTGTGTCGCCAACAAGAGCTGGAAGTGATGTCGATTTGAGGAGATGGAAGCTTCTTTATCTACTATTTACCGTGAATTTCCGTCGTTTTAAAATCATTTATGAAGCAATTCATACTTTAAAGAAGTCTCCGTCAATGGCAAGCATTTATTTGCCTCCGATTGCCCGCAAGAAGAAGGTAGACGGCTGCCCGCGGTAGGTTTCAGTAGGTTTTGACTCTTAAATATTTAATTTAATCATGACCAATCTATGGATTCGCAAGACAAACAAAAATGTTTGTGGTCAGATAGACAGTTATTCTTCTCTAATTAAGTGTGTTTCAAGTCAAATATAAAGGTTACCACAGGATCGTACTGAAAACGCACAGAAAACTCTACTACAAATCAGAACAAATGTGTTTGAATCACATGTATACTTCGAAAAAACCTCTGGTTTTGGTTCCTGAAAGAGAGTTTAATTTAGGATAGTAGTTGAGTGTTGTGTGTTGAATGCACAGCATGATTAATAGTCAAGTGTATAGACGGCTGAAATTCACTGACTAATGAATCTGTTTCAGGTCTAGTCAAGGTTCTTGGTTGAACTTGTTTTCTCTGGATAACGGATACTTAGATACAAATCAGCAGTGCAGTGACTGAAGTGACTTATCAGAGAACTTGATAATTCATTTAAATGTATCCCCTGATCATAAAATTCCATTTCATATTTTCAGGCATGACACCTTCAGAGTTTTTGCCGATCTTCAAGATGACAGTCCATTGTCGAGTAAAACAAGTTACGATTCACATTATATAGGACACACATTTAAACCAGCTCAGCAAAGTGTTATGTCTGGACAGAACAAACCCCACCCTACTAATGTGACATTTCTACGTCAGAATCCACGATTTATTTGTGAGCCAATCTGCTATGTAAAAACGTCTATGAAACCTCCAGTTATTTATCCATCCTGGTGGCCTGATGAAGTGCCAGAGCAACAAACTAAGGTACCTGAACGCAGCTCTGATTCAACGTCACGCACAGATTACCCTCCTCCACCTATTCCTCATGATCGAATCACGCGGTACAGCAGTAATCTAGCTATGCAAGTAACACCAGCTGGGATTTTTCATCAGGGACCTCATAAGTCGGGTGTGTATACACCAAAGATAGTGGAGAAGATCTCTTACGAACATCAGTTTAATTCGAGGTTGGACCCCAGCCACCCTGTAAGAGGTCGCCGACATGGGAGCTTCATATGGAAAGTGATCTCTGATGTTGGACGACCAGGCAGAAAAAACAGCAAACCTGTTGAATATGCATATATTAAGGTTGACCCTAGTGAAAGTACAGTATCATCTGAAGTTACCTGTACTGAAAATGCTGATCAGCAAAGACAAACGAAGGACTTAATGCCTGAATCTGAGGAAACACAGTCAACTTCAAATGAGGGTTGATCTCCTGACAAATGTATAATATATGCGCTATTGTCAAAGTATAAAATACATTTGGCAATAATAATATTTATTTTTTATTTTTTTGTAATATGTTTTACAAATTTGCACAGTTGATGTTTGTGGCTGCATTTGTATAGTGCACCTAGACCATTTTGAATCCTAATGAAAGCACTGAGGTGTGTTTTTACCACGAACACCTAAACTAAACCATATTATTTTCAAGCAATTGAGGAGGGATTTTATTTTTTATATTAAATTAAAACTTTTAGTGTAATATAAAGTTGAGGTGAAAACAGAGTATATAATAAATCTTGCATTTTAAGTGCAGAATTTGAGATTCTCACAAATGAACGGTTTGTGTCTGCTTTGTTTGTTACCACAAGTCTTGTCAGGGGGACTGACAAGGCTTGTTTTCCCAAAGAGTAATCAAGCCCATCCCTAAGCTCAAAGGTTTTTAGAGGCGCGCATAATTTTCCAAAACATTGCTATAAACACGCCTGGGGGCAGGTGGGGGGGTATTACTTATAACGCTCAGGGGTAGGCTGTTCTAGTTCCTAATGGTATTAGGGAAAAACGAGTATAAGTGATACTTTGTTTCAGATGCCGGGACTATACGAGAGTCTGTGCGTATGCCTGCTGGATCGGCCGGCCGGCCAGCTCGAGATATTTCTGTTGGTCTATCACAACTAAGTTACAGTGCATTTTATGCAGCATTGTTAGTCTAGTCCTTTTTCTACGTAGTTCTGTTTAGTTTCCCAATCAAGTTGTTTCAACATTTCGGTGACACTGGCACTGACCTTTCGTAACAATTTAGGACATAACGTGCTGCTCTACATTGCACCATTTCAACTCCATCCCTATTTTGTTTGGTATTCGAGTTAAGTTCTGCTTAAGAGAGAATTTCCTGTCTGACTGACCAAGCCTCAGTCATCATTCGCTCCCTGTCCATCTTCGTATACTCCAACATTAGCATTTGGTCGACCAATCACCAGCCCTCTCCGCGGAAATCAACAGTCGCGAAAGCAGCGCCTTTTACTTTGAAAAACTAATGTTTGAAAGAAAAAAGACAAAAAAACGTTGCGAGAATAGCGTCTTGATTCTTTGCGCAGATTGTAATCTTTCAACTATCGCATTTTTCCCCATTTGTTTAGTTGTTCTTTTTGTTTGTTTCCTTTCTTTTTTGTGTTTATCATTCTTAGACATTTTTTAAGGTACGGGCAGAGAACATGCACTTGACGAAATTGGCTACTCGGACTGGTTAAAAAAGAGACGGTGAGAATTATTTTTTAGCCAATATCATCGTGAAATCAGGTGCATCCGTGTACGTCGGTACTGATAGCCCATAAGTTTTTTTTTTTTTTTTTTTTTGAAGTTCAACGAACAACGCTACTTCTTGTTTTTCTTTTTCTAAAAGGTCACCAAGATTTTCAGAAAAATTGTCACGTGACATATCACGTTACTTTCTAAAACGACTTCATAAGGAGAAGAGGTCTTTCTTAAACTTCCAATGAAACAGAGTCTTTCCTAGCCTAACTAAACGCATAAGACCCAGACATTACTTGAGATCTTTTAATTTCTGAAGTCTAAACAATACAGTAAAGCTATGAAGGCGTTAACTATTTCTTTATTATAGCTACGCTTTTCTTTTGTATATTTTGGGGTCTAGGCACGTCGTAGATGGTTTCGTTTTTGCGGGTCTCATCGATCTCTTTACTTCTGTCTTAGTAAAGAAAGATGAACCATGAATGTCGCACCAAACGGATCCACTTTAAAATGCTCTCATAAATATTTCATGCCCAATCTAAGGCAGAAAATGAAACGAAAATTATAGCTCTGTTTTTGTGTGCACCTCAATAATATCAGCGGAATATGATGAAGCAAAACAGCACTCAAACATCAACTGGCCCTCAATATTCTTCTAGAGTTTTCATTCGATTTCATCCTATTTTGTTTTGACCTTTTAGTAATTGACAGATAAGTCAATATTATTTGTGAAGGAAAATTGAGGAGTTGTTTATAATTTCCAACAGCAGGTGGGTATTGCATGCGTTGTTTGCTCGACGAATTATCTTGGCCTTCTTGCGACCTATTTCTTGGGTATGATTGAACGTAGAATCCATCCAGGCTCAACAGATCGAATTTGTTCTCTCCAACAACTAGCTAAGAAAAACGTTAAAAATTCTTACTACGTTTCTCAGTAAAAATGCGAGTTCTCAAGTAACCTTGTGCGCGCAAAATCTGTTTATTCTTAGAGAGATTTATATTATTTTGGAAGATTGTTTTACAAACATTCAATATTCTCAAGAGCCATTATGGCTCTTGATATTGTCTTGAAGAGAGAATGAGGGAGGCGTTGGTTATCTTTTGCGGGTGGCTTCATATTGGATTATTAGAATATGAACGTTGTTGACCGTATTAAGTAGATTACGAACTATACAGAATGCGTAGCTGATATATTTGATCATAAATAGTCGCATCTAAGTTGCCGCCAAGACTGACAAGACTGGACAAAAGGATAATCGTATTTTACCAAATTTAACTTGAATATGAAAACCCTTTTAAAAGACACGTTGTATTAAATATATTGAACCTATTTACAGGTTGATGACAAATACTAAGCTAAGCCCAAGAACAGAAAAGTCGCCTGAGAGTGTCTTTCACAGCTTGCTTTACTTCTCTGATCTTCCAACAGTACAACAAAGGGTTCAAGGACGAATTTAACAACACTAAAGTAACTGTAAATTGCCCGGCCAAGTAAACTGATGAAGTCGACCCGTTTTGACGTATTAAAGATTCGGCTATAAAATGAGGCAGATAACAAATAATCAATGCTACCTGCACCCAAAGTGCGCTGTGGACTCCTTTTCTGTAGCGGTCTACGTTAAGTGGAATAACTTGGCTTGGTTGACTTTGAGAGGCGTGTCCATGGACATGAATCTTGTAATGACGCAGCGAGTGAAAAATTTTTGTGTAAGAAAAAATTGAGGTTATCATACAAAGAGACGCAATTATGAAAACACATACATAGCTGACTAAACCAGCGAGGGACAAAACCCAAAGAACAGCTACAGTTATATAAGATCTTTTTCGAGTCACAACCCTCTGGTACTTGAACCCCAACAACAACGCGAGAAGTCTGTCCACGCTTATTACAGTCAATATTATCAAAGAAACTAGGCACAACATACTGCCTGTGAAAGAAACGGCCACGAGTGCGTAATAGCAAATACTCCATGCTTTGTACACAACAGATATCCAATAAACCACAGCCAGGGGTTGTACAATGATACCAACACAGAGATCAGTTATCGCTAGGTTACGATACAGGAGTTTGGACGGCGGCTGAAGCGAGGCCGATTCCTTACGTAGGGCTAGCAGGATCAGAGCATTCCATGAAAATGCAGTGATGGATAGGAAAATATTCAGTGCTACCAGAAAGATAAGGTGACTGTGAAATTCCGCAGTGGTTTCTTCAGAACAATGCGGAACTTTGCTAGTTTTCTGGTGTTCAGGATAAAAAAAATCGCTTAATAATTCTGCCATCCCTATGATCTGCAAATCCTCGATGCAAGTGCGTAAAAATGAACTGTTTCAGTTAAAACATGTTTCCTTTTTTACGCCAAGCAGTTGACCAATATTCCACCTGTCTTCAACTGTCAGTCAAACTGAGACAGCTGGTGTTGTAATTCACGAAACGGAAGTCGCGAGGAAGTCATTCTCATCTAAGTCCCTGATCCAATAAAAGGAGATTTGCTAAAACTCTTGTACCGCGACATGCAGTACAGCAACACACGTCGATCTTCGGCAAAAAAATTTTTCTCTAACTGGCTATATCAGACTCTAGATTTACAATTCTAAATGTTTGACAACGGAACAAAAAGTTTCCTTCTTTTCGCTGAGTAATTTGCTAATTAAATCAGATCTGATACCGCGAATGTTATAAGACACAGCTAGACACGCAACAAAAGTCGTACTCAAAAGTCACAGGGGCACCCAACGAGAATATAGTTCAAAACCAATTAATAGCATTGTTAAACGTATTTTAGTATTTCAAAGGTAGATATAGGCATATTTTTATCCCCTAAAAATTTTTCATCTGTTCGGATTTCCTAGCTGAAAGTCTAGTGATCCGAAATTATAGGGATCAAAACTTACCTTTTCGAAAATCTGAGCCAGAAAAAAAGCTCCCGAAAATTCTAGGTGACCTTTTTAGGGTAAATATCCGTTGAAATTGGGCAATTATACCATTTTTAGATGTTCGAAAATCCTAGGAGAAGCAGGCAAGCAAGAAATTTTACCACAAATGTTCCGAAAAGGCTAGATCGCAAATCGTCTTCCGAACAGATATTTTCGGAAAACTGACGTTGGGTGCCCCTGAAGTCATGATCATAAGGTATGTCAAGAGATAGTAATAGGTCAGGTCCTATTATGGCTCTTGGGTATGTAAAATGCATATAACTTTGCATAATGCATTGTCACGATGAAACACCACTGTAAAGTTACTTGGTAGCGTGCTTAGCGTGCACGGCAATGTTTGCGTCTCACTTATGACGTAATATATAGATTTAGCCAAGCCTAAAAGCGGAGCTCATTTTACAATCTGAGCCATTCACTAAGATCAGTATATAATTTAAAACAGTATGGCTTAGTCAATCACTAAGTGGACCTACCCTCATTGGCAATATCAAAAGAATCCTACTACAGAGGACTCCTTTATTATTTCACCGTCATCTGCATCACAGAAGAATATATGCATCTTCCCCAATGTTAGAACTCTCCGGCTGGAGCGGTCATTTCGAAAATGTAATAGCCTTTTTTAAAGAGTTTTGGCTAAAAAAAAAACCTCTAACCCCTTGTGTATCATTTAGCAATTGACTGATCTGCTAGTACAGTCTTAATTTTTGATTAGTCTCCCTTGCGTAAGCAGCGAGACTCATAATCTGCAAGCCGTTTTTTTTCCTTCGTATTTAGTACACAAAACGACGTCGGTTGTGGTTCCAGGCTTTCCTAGCGGCGACAGTGGAAACTGGGAATAAGAATCGTGACGACTTTCATTGTATGCAGATGAGGCTCGTGATGAGCATGTGGTTTATTTTCGGCGTTGATCGAGGTGATGCGCATAGTTGATCACGTTCTAGTACGGCTTTTTGGCAATGATGTAATATATTTCCCCGAGGCAGCCTTGATTTTCGTGTATTCATACACGCGTGGTTGGACGTGAAAATATTATAGCGGAGGAAATTCTGTTTCGTGCTGTATTGAGGCATTACGTTTCTCACAATATTGACGCAATGACTGGAACTCTACGGTTAAACAGATTCGACATTGCAGATTCACTTTGTTGTATGTATCTAATTGATAGATATTCGCAGTTGTTAAGATGTGAAGTCGCGCTGGACTTTTATAAATACTTGAGATATTAATGATTTTTAACCTTCAACTACTAGAAGCAACTTCAACTTCTCGTGTGACGTTACGTATGCGTCCTAGATGTGTTTATAAGTTTACAATTGTACTTGACTGTCACACACTCTACTTGCAGCACTTCATCGGCCAATGGAAACTACTAGTCTACAAATTGAACTAGTCTGTTTATTTTCGAAGTTCTCTAGT